AGCTTGGAAACGGCTGTACTAAGAATGGGGAGGGGGAGGAGGCAACCTGTTGTGGCCTGCCAGCAGAGCTGGCAGCAAATTCAGGCAGTGAGGAGGTTAGGGAAGAACACGGGCCAGTTGGAGTCTGGGGAAGGATCTGATGAGGGCTCTGTGTCAGAGGCAGAGAGGGGGCCAAGGGCTGTCTGACAGTTATCAGCTGCCTTCGGAGTCAGACATCAGGGAGTCAGACAAACAGCTGGAGCCTGTTTCCAGTGTGCGCATGCGCAGAGTTGCCAGATAAAGGAACAGCTAAAGAACAGGGGTTGACTTGGGAGTAAGGCCACAGGTGGACGATAAATGGCCCCTCCCAGAGGAAATAAAAGAGAGTGAAAGGGAAGTGGAGTTAATTGGTTGCAGATATCAGCCTGGCAGCTGTTCAAGCCAGATAAGGTCTGTGACTATAAATCCTCCCTTGACAGACTTTGCTGGATGTAAATGAGCAGAATTCACAGTAAATTAATAAAAGGGTTTTTTTGTCGAGACAAGGAGTTTTCTTCATGCTCTTGGGAAGCCTCAGTCAGAACGCAACCTTTCTTTTCTTCCCTTCAGAGCAGGGGCCTGGGAATTCTGGGAGTTGAAGTCCACAAGTCTTAAAGTGCCCAAGGTTGGAGGCTCCTGCTTCAGAGGACTTAACAGATTGATGTGTTGGCCGCCTAGAATAACAAGATTCTGTGATTAACATGGCTTGGGGGGGGGGGGGTGTCACTAATAACGAGTCAGAAATGGCAAGAAATGATGTGACATTATTGTGAAGGACCAAGCCAACATGGAGGGGGGCTGATGCATTTGTCCAATCCCTTGGGTTTCCCCACCAGGGAAAAATGAGAACACCTGTCCGATTTTTTTTTTTTTTTAGAACAAATGGAAGGTAATTCTTTTTGACTTTCCTGTTGTATCTTCCCTTCAGCTACTAGAAGTCATCTAGTCTAGGTAAAAAAAAGTAGCTTAAGGAAAGAGAATGTAGCTATCCACTGACTGTGTGTGTGACGGGGAAGGTCTGCCTTTAAAGTGGCCTTCCAAACTGCATGACCCATGATCAAAGATTATGGGAGTTGTAGTCCAAAGCCCAATTTTTAGGAGGGAACCCAGAGTGGGGCAAGACCGGTTAAGCAGAAAAATCTACAAGGGGGTGAGCTGTGAACCAGAAGTCCCCTGTTGAAATCTTATCTGCCCTACTTGGATATTGTTTCTCAGTCTCCTTCATGACGGGGATGAATAACTCAGTCTACTTTTTAGGGGCGTTTTGCTAAGAGACCCCGTATAAAACATGCTTTCTTATTCTAGGTCCACAGTCCATCTTGGATGCACCATCAGTCATACCTCATGCAGCCCACGGTGAGAGCTATTTCTGCTTGCCTGCCTGCCTACTACCCACCTACCTACTACCTACCTACCTACCTACTACCTACCTGCCACCTACCTACCTGGAATCCTCCATTAAGGAAAATGTTGCAAAAGTGCTCCCGGTGCTGATTAACCTCTTTAATTGTGGATTCAGATGGAGCAGTGAAAGTTGGAGTTGGCTTTTTTTTAAAAAAAAACTTGTGAGAGCTTGGGCTTTCTCCCTTTCTAGACCAAATGACAGGAAAAGAGATTAAATGGTGTCACTGTTTTGTGTTTTGTTTTGCTTGTCTTCCTGGGTCAGGAGGGTAAAAAAATCATATGTGTCATCTGTGTTAAATAACAACTAATATACTTTAAAAGGGACGCGGTGGCTCGGTGGCTAAGATGCTGATCTTGTCGATCAGAAAGGTCAGCGGTTTGAATCCCTAGTGCCACGTAACAGAGTGAGCTCCCGTTTCCTGTCCCAGCTCTTCAAACCTAGCAGTTCGAAAACACATAAAAAATGCAAGTTGAACAATAGAAACGACCTTTGGTGGGAAGGTAACAGCGTTCCATGCGTCTTCGGCATTTAGTCATGCCGGCCACATGACCACAGAGACGACTTTGGACAGCACTGGCTCTTCGGCTTAGAGACAGAAATGGGCACCGCCCCCTAGAGTTGGGAATGACTAGCACATTCTGTATGTGTGAGGGAAACCTTTACCTTTAATATACTTTAGTACTCAAGTGGGAAAAACCTTTTTTGTTTTTAATTCAAAGTGCTGTGTGGCCTAGCGTGCTAGTCAGCATGTCTCACCTTTTCTAATTATCCCCCGATTTGAACCTTTGGGAAATGTAGTACCTTCATACCGTTATGATGCCCGTTGTTCTTAGGATGTTGATAGGCTCATCCCTTCATTACTTTCCATTTTGTCTCTAATGGGGCCCTCTTTTACTCAGTTAGCATTTTGTTCCCAAGCAGGGGACGGTGCTCACACCTGCCATGGACCACGCCATTTCCATCCAGCCCACTTCCATGATGGGGCCTCTCACCCAACAGCTGGGCCATCTGTCCCTCAGCAGTGCTGGCACAGTAAGGATTCTCCTTGCCTTTTTTGTGTGTGGGGCTTGAGACTCAGTCCTGCTGCCGCCTCTTGACGTTTTCTCTCCTTCTTGCCAGTATATGCCAGCGGCAGCAGCTATGCAAGGAGCCTATATCCCCCAGTATACACCGGTGCCTTCCTCTAGTGTCGCAGTTGAGGTAAGAGGCCCTTTGGGCCTTCCTGCTTAAATTAGGAGTGCTTCCTTGGTACAGATTTATACCTCACGCTGAGTTCACATAACAGCTCTGAGTAAGCTAAAATGGGGATGGAAAATGCGTGCCTTATTTTCTTCCGGGATCTGAACCTTTGCCGTAGCAACTGGCTCTTATGTTAAGCCATTGGGGGTGGGTGGGGATGAGGGAGTCCAGTCACATATTATGTGAACACAGCAACTGTGGTTTATTAACTTGGGTTTGGGATTTGGTGGGTTGTGTGAACTCAGCCTCTGGACTGTGTATTTGTCTGGGATATATATATATATATATTACATGCCTATTCAGAGATTGTTCATCTTGCGCTGATACACAATTTGGTTTTGTGTGTTTCCAGTAAAGAGGAACAGGTTACCGAGGGTAAGTGGGTGAGTGGAAACCCAGAGCATGGCTTATAGATTTTTGAAATGGCAATGCTGGGGAATGGAAGAGGATTCCCATATTCCGCTGCCACCCTTGCCATGACTTTTGTAACCTTTTCTTCTTCACCACTCCNTGCTTATAATTCAAGGACTACCTGTAGTCCAATGACTGCCCACTGATAGCGAGCAGCGGCAAAATCTTTGGTTCCTATCATGTATTCACAAAAAAATAGCTGTCCGGAATACATATGAGTAATCTCAAATGTCTCTCCTTTCTCCGGAGAGATTTTGGCTATTTGGTTCCCATGTCCCGCTACCATTTTCAACGTAATCTCTCCCACCGCTCCGTGGTAGGTCAGTGTGCTATTTCCTTGCGGGAAGTCTACAACTGCATCCCTGGCATGGAAGCGAACTGGTTTGCCGCCCCTCCCTTTGGATTTTGTGAACCGGCCACAAGGTGTGCAGGCTAAGCTTAGAGACAGCAGGAGAACGTTCCCTTAACAGCTTGACCAGCTGTACTGACATGCCATTAAGCTGGTTGAGAGAACAGGCTTTCTGCTGGCTTGGAGAAGGCTTGCAACTTGTTCCTGGAAAGGTGAAATCATAACTATTGCTTCCCTGAGCTGAGAACCTGGTGCATTGGGGAAAAAGGAAAAGGCATGAGCCCTATGTGAATTAACTATTGTTTCCTGCAGGGTGGGATGACCTTGACTTATGACCCTACAACAGCGTTACAAAACGGGTATGTCTTTGCTATTGTGCCTTCACCTTTTATGGGTACAGTAATATTTTCCATTAGAAATGATATGAAAAATGGGGCCTGGCAGAATTAAACTGGCATGGCAACCATTGGGAAGAGAGTCCTGCTGAGACCTCTCTCAGTTTTTTGGGACAGACTTCTAACAGGCGATTCCTATTTTCGCTGCAGGTTCTATACAACGCCCTACAGCCTGGCTCCGAACAGGATGATTGCCCAGACTGCGCTCTCCCCTTATCTCCCATCACCTGTTTCCTCTTACCAGGTGTGTTGCTTTTGCAGCTAATACTGGACAAGACAAGCCGGGACCTCTGAGTCATTACAAGAGACGAGAGCTTGGAAACGGCTGTACTAAGAATGGGGAGGGGGAGGAGGCAACCTGTTGTGGCCTGCCAGCAGAGCTGGCAGCAAATTCAGGCAGTGAGGAGGTTAGGGAAGAACACGGGCCAGTTNGAGATAAAGAAAGAAAGAGGAAGGGGGAGAGAAAGAAAGGGAGAGAGAAAGGAAAGAAAGCCAGAAATAAAGAAAGAGTAAAGGAGAGAAAGAAAGAAAAGAAAAGGGAAGGAAGGGAGAGAGATAGAAAGAGGACAGATGAGAGAATGAAAGGAAGGGAGAGAGAAAGAAAGAGAGAAAGAAAGAAAGAAAGAGGAAGGAGGAAAGAGAAAGGGAGAGAAAAAAGAAAGAAAGGAAAGGAGAGAGATAGAAAGTAAAGAAAGAAAAAAGAAAGGAAGGAAGGGAGAGAAAAAGAGGAAGGGGGAGAGAAAGAAAGGAAGGGAAAGAGAGAAAGAAAGAAAGAAAGAAAGAAAGAAAAGAAAGAGGAGGGTATCTGTGGTTCAGAGGTAGGATGAAGTCAAGGAGAAGAAGGGACAATGAGCAACTCAGGTTTGATAACAGCAGTTATTGCTACAAAGCAAAGTAGCATCCTGTTAATGAGTCCATCACAGGTGGGACGATGTGTGGAGTGGAATTCAGTGCATCCAGTCATCTGTGAAGAGAAGGTTTAGGTTTAGATTCAAGTGCATCGAGAGAATACGGAGACCTAGGAGTTCATACCAGGAGTGTCCAGATACGTTATAACAAAAAGTCCCAAGGCTAATCCCAGCTCCGTTTTTTTTCCTTGCAGCTCCTCCAGATCCATTGCTTTGCAAGTTTGCTGATGGTGGTCAGAAGAAGCGCCAGAATCAGGGCAAATATGTGCAGAATGGGCGAGCCTGGCCAAGGGAAAGTGATACGGTAAGAGCGGACTTCAATGGGCACAGAATCCCCTTTGGTCATACATGGTGGCCCAACGAGAACTTGATAAAAAGTTTATTTGACACGTTTTCTCCTAGCATGGAACTCCCCCCCCCTTTTTTTGGCAATAATTTTATTAAGAATTGTATTGTATAAATAAAACTAATATGAACTACAAAAGATTTTTTTTAAAGCCGAGTTAGTTAAGTATAGTTAACATTAACAACTTTTCACTCTCTCTCAAAATACAAGTAATCATTTTTTCATCCCATAACCCATCCCTTTCTCCTTGGGATTAAACAAATCTTTAAAACCTCATCACCCCATATCCCCCAGCAAAAGTCCATTAAGGCTTAAGAAGTAGCAACATAACTATTGTAAACTACCGTATTTTTCGGAGTATAAGACTCAACTCCCCCCCCCCAAAAAAAAGAGTGTTGAAATTTTGGTGTGTCTTATACACTGAATACAGCCATTTTTGGTCTCCCGAAGCCCTATCCCTGCATCCCATTTTTGTAAAAAATGGGGGCACTTTTGCCTTCTCCCACCCCCCAGAAACACTCTGCAGGCTTCAGCAGGGAAGGGGGAAATGCTCTCGTTTTGGTGAAAAACGGGGGCATTATTGCCTTCCCCAGTCCTGCTGAAGCCTGCAGAGTGTTTTTGGGGGCCGGGAAAGACAAAACCTTTTTTTTTTCTGACTTACCTCTTCAAAATCTTGGTGCATCCTAGGCACCGATGCGCCTTATAGTCCGAAAAATAACAGTATGTTCAATAAACCCATTTTGATTCCTTGTTTTTACATTTATTCCTCATTTTCTTTAAACAAATCTCCCGATCTCAGTTCTTCAAATATTTATTCCTCCTGGTTTCCCCAACAACAACACTGTGAGGTGGATTGGACTGAGAGCAGTGGTGGGTTGCTGGCGGTATGCCCCAGTACGGGAGCTGCCAGGAGCACCGGGTACCATTCCGGTACGGT